AAAACCAATAGTTACGACTTGTAGAGAATACTTTGCAATTTTTAAAACCCTCCTTGGATTTTCTGTTCGACCATTATTTCCCGAGTAATTAGTTGCTAAAGTCAAAAATGATTTTTGTGCATTGATCGACCAGAATTCAGCGACAAATCATCGTACAAGGATGCGGAACCAATCAAATTGAAGAGAATTAAATTATTTAAAAGAGCTTTACAAATCAAACTACGTGTTGAAAATTATATGTATTAAAGATAATATGTAAGCAAATTATATGTAATAAGGCGACCTCTATGTATGAAAGAGTTGTAGGTAATTAGCACAGAGTACCAACCAGAGATCCGAGTTGATAGGGAAAAGTTGTCTCTGTTTTTTATCTTTCTCTGAACCTTATTAAACCCAATACTTCTCTCTTTGTCGTTTTAAATGTAAAACAGAGGTAGGCGGAGCTAGTGCTCGTTATCGGTATAGAAGAAATTTGAAATGGGTTTGGGAAATAATAATGTCTCTGATACAATTTGGTAGGTGGCGCTGGGTGTAAAATATTGATGAGATATATTTTTTGAATTTTATAAAATTCGACAGATGGCCAGATAAGAAAACGAGAAGTTGATAAATTCAAGATACGTTCAGTAAAACTTATATGGTTTACAGAAATTAGTTAAATAGCAATGAAAATAATATTATTAACATTATGACGATTGCATTTTATATAACCTACGCATAGGTTGCAGGTAAGTACGTAAGTAAGTAGTTTATATATATCGTTGATATTTGTGTTGTACAGTATTTTTTCAGTGCCCATTATTGTATCGACTGTTAATTTAATGTTTAAGCGTGTTTGAGCGTGAGAAACTTTTGGTTTTCCATTTTTTTTGACACTTGTGACAATGACATTATATTGTATTATTTGTGGATATTCCGAAGAAGATGTGAAAAAATTATTCTGTTTTCCACGAAACTCAGAGAAGTGAGAATTATGCATAATTTTTATTTTGACAAATATACATATATGTATATTTTTCCTTGATGATATAAGTAAACTTGTTACTATAAATATGCGAAAAAAAATCTCATCAGTAATCGAAAAATATATGATAATTTTACTACTGAAAAAANTTTGTGCATTGATCGACCAGAATTCAGCGACAAATCATCGTACAAGGATGCGGAACCAATCAAATTGAAGAGAATTAAATTATTTAAAAGAGCTTTACAAATCAAACTACGTGTTGAAAATTATATGTATTAAAGATAATATGTAAGCAAATTATATGTAATAAGGCGACCTCTATGTATGAAAGAGTTGTAGGTAGTTAGTATTTGTCATGAATCAGCGATGAGCGTGCTGTCATTTTGTTTTCTTGTTCTCAGTTCTCAGTAAAAACATAACATTTAAAAACAGTGTTAATTTCCATCCACATCTACAAGGTCCTTCAACATTTCAACACTACTTAATATCATCTACCACTACGCCTATTAATGTTCAAATGCATATGTTGTATTTGTAATAGTATTTATTGAAATATTCCAGTCATAAATAAAAGTTGGTATGAGTCTTAACCGTAATAATTAGAATTTAGTAGTAGCTCGCTTCGCGCCCTGGGGTTATAAAAACATTTTATTATTATTGTTATTGATATTCGTTTCTAAGGTACTTCAAAAACTTATTCCTAAATTACATAATTTCAACTCACATTCACAACAATAATCATAATTATATTCGTGGATAGATTTCAACAATCACGACGAATATGGAGTGAACGCAAGTATACCCGCAACATTAATTATTTAATTTTCGAAAAATGTTTTTTTATGGGGATCATATAGGTATCTATATTTTACTACTTGAAATTGAGAAAAATGCGGCATATTTCTGCTCCATTTTATGCACGCGTATTCTATCAGTTGCCGCCAATTTCATGCCATACAGTAGTCAGTGAAGTACATGAAAATGGATCCGTGTATATTGTATTTGTGCTATAAAAAAATATGTAATAGAAGACGTAAGAGGCGTTGGGCAGTACATCCAATTAATAGAAATAGAATTCAACAAAGCGCATTTTATATTTTATATACACATGATTTCGCAAATATCTTTCCATTTATCCCTTTTCAACTGTCTATCTTTATAACGTTCTGATGATGAATCCCATACAGTGTAGGAAAGTACCGATGGTCTATCAGAAGTTACGTGAGAGCGACAAAGTAAGACATAGAAATCCGTTTCGCCCTTCCACAAATAAGATCCACTTCCACTTGTAATTCAGCGACCATCTTTGTTTTCGTCGTTTGCCTTTTCTGTAATAGATGTCACTACTTATACAATTCCGACTTCATATTCCGATATGTTAATACCATCCGTTAACAGAGGGCAGCCCTAGAAAAAGTGATGCCAGATCTACCGATTTTTTTGAAATTGGGGAAATAGGTAATTTTAACCATGTATAAGTACATCACTAATTCCTTCAATTTAGGGCCGGTTTTACAAGTAAAGAATAACCAAAGAATAAGATTATTCTGGAGATAACTTGGAGAAACTGGTTTTACAACTTTCTTTTAATCTAGGAATAGCTTATTCCCAGATTTTATCTACGAATATCTTATTCCGCCGTCAAGCAGCAGGTTAGCGCGGTAAACCAGGAATAGCGTTTAGTACCTAACCTTACAAAACAAATAACTTGTTTTCGTTAATATTACCTACTGTTGAAATTTAAGCTATATTTATTATTACCTCAAGGTAGACAGTGTTTTTAAAATGGATTTACTAGAAGTCCCAGTTTTTTAATCTTCTGAAGAAGAAATAGATCTACCAGTCAGAAGTAAGCCAAAGAAAATTAGAGAGAGGTACAGTTTTTTTTATATGTATAATAAAACCAGTATGTGATGTAGTAGTTTATTTTAGGATGGAATATTTTGAAGAAATGGACGATTTAGAATTCTTCCAAAGATTTCATTTAAAGAAACCAACATGTAGACATCTTTTGGATGAAATTCAGCACATTGTTCAATCTCAGACTAATCAAAATAATGCAGTTTCTCCAGCAACAAAGTTATTATTAACATTCAGATTTTTTGCTACTGGGTCAATGTTAATTGTAGTAGGAGATTTTGTTGGAGTCAGCAAAGCAACAGCGTGTGTATGTGTCAAACAAGTGAGCGAAGCAATTGCAATGCTGGGACCTAGGTATATCAGAATCCGGGGAAATGGGCAACGCAGTTTTATTAGGAGATAGTGGCTATGCCAATACTAATTATTTATTAACACCATTAACTAAAGTTACAACGGTTGCCCAAAATTTATAGAATGAAAGCCAAATACGCACTAGAAATACTGTGGAACGGTGTTTTGGTGTTTGGAAAACGAGGCTTCCTATTTTATCTTTAGGTATGCGTGTATCGTTACCAAAATCACAAGCCATTATTGTAGCTACTGCAGTATTACATAATATTGCAATTAGAGGAAATAATGAGTTACCTATGAATGAGATGGATCATGCACTCTATTATAATGAAGATGATGAAAATATTGAAATTCCAAATGAACATAATTTTGTGAATATGCGCAGAAATAATTTAATCCTGAATCACTGAGAATTTACTGCAAAATGTAAATTAGGAAAATTAAATAAAATCATATATACACCACATACGTTTTTAAATTCTTTTGTAATATAAACCAATAAGTATTTTATTTTATAGAAAAAGCATTTTTGATGCCTTTTTAAGATAAGGTTGTCATGAACAATTTAACCTCTACGTGCAGGGTGTTTAGAAACTAAATAAATTTGTATAAGAGTAAACTATCTTTATTTTTAACAATATTTGAATGAACATGAAAACATATGAAAGCATATAGATACATATGACCAAATGAGTAATACATATTTTTATCAAAATATTTAAGAAACGCAAGTTTACACTGATAATAAACTAAATTACAAAAGATGATGAATGAACAACTGCATGACATCATCCGTGACGTAAGTCGTTTTAATATATATTCACAGTGAATTTTTTTCACACTGACATTTATTTTTTCAAATTGTCATCTCCAATTCATGTTTCTCTGCATTTATTTTTTCTCTCATTTCATGCTCTTTTTTGAGAAGTTCTATCTGCAGCGAGACCAATTCAATTTTTTTATCCAACAGGACTTCATGTTTGTTGCTGACAGTGTTTTCTGTAGTACTCCTATATTTTCGCTTACGAACTGACTTGGGAACACAATCGATATGTTCTAAAAATTATCCAAATATTAATCATTTATTTAAAACAAAGCATAACAAATTTACTTAACACTGAGCGAGCAGGTGTTGAGGGTAGCGACTCCTTAGTTTCAACAGCTCCTGTCAGTAATATGGGATGTATTGGTTTTTTTAACTGGGCAGGATTCCACTGATTCCATTTATCCTAGAAATGTATTAATTTTTAAAAATAACTCGTACATAAGTGGCTCATGATGTAAGAAAAAAATATTACAAGGCATTCCTTCTTTTTTTTTATATATATTGTGATAGAATTGTTTAAGGAATTAAAAGATATACTTTAAAATTTCTTTGTTACAATTTCATTTTCTTTGTTTTTGTCTTCGGACGTCTCTTGCACTTGAGTCGAAGTGGAGGGCTGTGGCTCGTTTATTTGCAGAGATTGTTCTGGTAAGGTTCTGTCCTTATAATCTATTATAAGCAGTAAGAAGTTATATAAGCAAAGTTGTCAATTATTATTATTATTATTTCCCTATACGGACCTCACATACAGAGTCGTCACGTTCACAACCAATGTCCTGCACTATATTACGAAAAACAGCAGCATTTGTAGAAACTGAATTTGTTTCATATTCTGAAATAAAAAGAAAATCTTTCATAATATTCTATCTCAAATATTTTGTTTTGAAAACGTTTTAATATTTACAATCTTAGGCACTATAATACTATTTATTAGCATATTTTACCAATGACTAATTAAATTTATCCATCGTCTACCCCTCACCTGTATTATTTGAATCAAAAGGACACAACACTTAAAATCCTTTCCTCCCAATTGTCAAAACTATTATTGCTAAAGCCACCACCTGTTTTATACAAACTACTTTTTTTTAAACTGTAATTTTTCCTCGTTGTGGTCTTCCAAGAGTCCCACTTCATACGCAGTTGCTTTGCTGTTTGTCCAGACCCTGCAGCAGCATTAAATTTATTCGTTAACTTCTCCCACTCTGCATCCTTATCACGATTTGACACTGTATCTGTCTTCTTGCATTCTAAAAGAAAAGTTATAAATTTAACACTTGCTTACCTTTATTAATAAAAATGTTAATGATACATACCAATTATTCTTTTGTGTTCTTCAACGAGAGTCAACAAAATATCCATTTCACTACTACTAAAATTAGAACAACGGATGCGTTTTGTCGAATCCATATTCTTTGATTGTAATGATTATATCTTACACAAAAATTTAAACAACAAATACACAAGGAAGCCACACGAGGTTTAAAGAAGCAACAAGTTCAGAGGTTATGTTGAATTGTCAAACTATAAAGCTTGTACATAATTGGCGCGTGCGCAAAACAAATTTGTGCTACCAACTTCAAATATTTTTCCACTATTCTTGGAATACTTATTCGGGAATAGAAAGTTACAAAACTAGAGTTGTAAAACAGCGGTGGCTTATGCGCCAGTTAAATCGTAGGATAACTTTATGCTCGGAATACTTATTCTCTAGATAAATCTACACTTAGCCGTAAGGGCCGTAAAACCGGCCCTTAAGTGCAAGAAATTTAAATATTTTAGATATTTGTAGAAATGTAGGGATTTTTTAAAGCATAACTAGCGTTTATGTATCGAATTCATCCGGCATCACTGCCTGAAAGTTCAACCTCATTCTAGCTGTACTGGTAGAAAGTAATGCATGCCTTTTGTATATTCCCTCATTTAATTAATTTGTTGTTACTATGTTGATTTATACAACGGAGGAAAAGGTGGCAACAGTTAAATGGTTTTATGCATCCCATAGTGCCCAAGAAGTCGTTGGGCGATTTGCATTTTCATTTGAAAATCGGCCAATCCCTGCGGTGAAGACGATTTATCAAATCGTTCGCAGATTTGAGACGTCGGGGTGTGTAAATACCTGCAAAAAGTGCTACTCCAACGAACCTGCCAACGGCAGGCCATTGCCCGAGGCCAGGGTAGCACGTGAAACAGCTGTTTGCGGTATTGTGGAATCGAGTGTAGTAGTAGTAGTACCCAAATCGCGGAAGAAGTTGATATGCATGAGCGAACAGTGCGAAATATTTTGAAGAGAAATGGGTATAAGTGTTACAGAGTACAAGAAACTCAAGAGCTATTTCCCTTAGACCAAACAAAACGTCTCGAGTTTTGTGAAACTATCAGGGAAAAAGTTGATTCGGACGAAAACTTTTTAAACCATATTTTATTTACTGATGAATCATCTTTTTCTCTTCATAGGTCCCACAATTCTCAAACAACTCGTTACAGGTCTACGGAAAATAAGCACTTGAGTATTCCTGTGCATTCACAGTACCCTGAGAAGTTAAATGTTAGGGCAGGTATTTTAGGAAATTCCGTGATTGGTCCGTTTTTCATAAATGGGAACCTTAATGCCGACAAATATTTAACTTTGCTTCAACTCGAAATTATTCCGGCTGTTCGAGCATTAAATATCAACTTTGAGGACGTGTGGTTTCAACAAGACGGTTGTCCCGCTCACAATGCACGTCGGGTAATCACCTNAAATTCAGACAGACAACCGCGTCGAGGAGAGTTAGGTCATGTTAGAGAGGAGCCTAGCCGAAGGCAAAGTGATAGAAGAGATGACCAAGCCGCAGTAGCAGTAATTCTCGATAATTATGAGGGTCTTTTAGAGGAAGAGTCGCACGATGTAAAACAGTTGGCTGTTGCACCAACTATTGAAATTAAGGTGGAATCAGTTGCAGTTAGAGCGCTTGTAGATTCGGGTAGTCAACTAACTTGCATTTCACGAAATTTCTTTAATAAATTAAAACAAATTAACGTACATTTACCTATATTGCCGGCATCGTGTTCAAAACTGATCGGAGCGTTAGGCGACAAAAGCCAAAAGGTACGAGAGCAGGTGTATCTGCAGTTTACAATAAATGATTTGTCGTTTGATTACACGTGTATTATTGTACCAAAATTAGTACGCGATATAATACTCGGATGTGACTGGATGCAGGATTTTTCAGTCAACATAGATTTTAAAACCCAAGAGGTTTCAGGATGTTTTCAAGGTGACACCGAAACAATTAAATTTATAGCAGAACCAGCCCTGTTAACATCGGTGATAATTAGTGAGTTAAATGCTGAGGAAGGTAGGTTCCAAAATAAGATAACTGACAATTATTCGCAGGAGCAAATACTAGAGGTCGCATCGTGTGCCGAATGTTTCAACGACATTTATAAAGGGAAACTAGAGGATTTACTTAAACAATATCATATGTTTTCAAATAGACCTGGTAGAACCGATATTTACACGCTCGAGATCATATTACATGACTATACACCATTTCATATTAAATCTTATCCGGTACCGTTGGTTTATCGTGAAGAGGTTAAGCGACAGTTACATGAAATGAAACAGTGGGGCATAATAGAAGAGCGCAGCACTGAATATGTTAGTCCATTGGTCGTGGTCGCGAAGAAAGGTAAATCGGTTTGCGTATGTATTGATGCGCGATACCTAAACAACCGCATGGTAAAAGATCATGTAACTCCACCAAATCCGAACGAATTATTACATGAATTCACGAGCAATCAGGTATTGAGTGTCATGGACTTGACTGCTAGTTACTGGCAGATTCCAATTAAAGCAGCTCATCAGAAGTTTGCCGGTTTTGCGTTTGAAGGTAAGACGTATGTGTTTAAAGTTCTTCTGTTTGGCTTTGCGACGTCGGTAGGCAGCTTCATTGTCGGATTGAGTAAAATCTTAGGGCCAGATGTTGATAAATTCGTCGTACCTTACGTAGATGACATAGTTATTCATTCGGAAAGTCCAGATGTGCATTTAGAACATTTACAAATTATTCTCGAGAGGTTCAGTAAAGCTAACATTACGATGAAATTAAAAAAATCACGATTTGCCTGTCAATCTATAACATTTTTGGGACATATAATAACATCGGTTGGGATTGAAATGGATCCTGAGCGAGTGAGAGCTATACAAGCTCTTCCATCTCCAAAGAGTTTGAAACATCTTCGTTCGTTCTTGGGACTTGTCAATTATGACCGTCGTTTCTGTGAGCGATTTTCTGAGTTAACGTTACCTCTTACACGCCTTTAAAAAAAAAGGACAACCGTGGAAGTTGGGGGTCGAAGAGCAATTAGCTCTCCAAAATATAAAGAATGCTTTTCTAAGGATAACAGTACTTATGCATCCGGATCCGAAGCTCGATGGATCTTATACTTGCAGAAATTTGATTTCCAAATCGAATATTGCAAAGGTAGTGAAAACGTGGTGGCTGACACTTTGTCGAGGTATCCGTATCAGTTACTAAAATCTAATGCTGAGACCCCAGAACTATTCGAGGTAGAACTAAATTCGATAGCAATAGACGTCCGTAGCATTCGGAACCAATTTAAGAAAATCTCTAGTCTTCAAGATGCCGATGAATTCTGTTCAAAAATCAAAACTGAGTTAGATAGAATCAGCTAATGGGTTGCCTAACTTTAAGAAATGGTATGTTTTATATTAAAACAATGTGTTCCGGAAAGGGTCAGTGGAATGCCCGGGGTACAAGGTTGTTATTATTGAAGAGAGGTGAAAATCAGGAGCCTGGAGGAATCAGCTGCTGTGTAGCTTCTCCAGAAGATTGCTGACATTCGAAATCGTCCGGGAAAGCCTAAGAGGTGGTCACTGCGGAGTGAACAGTATTCCCCTCGTCGCCAGCCCGCCGTGTCTTGGATACTGCCTGCAGAACAGAATTTAAGGCTCTAAAGTCAGCTATGTGTTGCTATGTCAATACACGAATTTTCCCATTCCCGTTTGGAGACGCTGAGCGCCACCGCAGGGTTCGTAGATTTAGTCGTTTATAAGCCGTCAAGCTATTGATGTCATGTGTCATTGTTGTTGACTAATAAATATTATAGTCTGTTACGTATCAGTTTTTTCTGTACCCACACCTATTTATTGATAACTGTAAACCTGAACCCATAGGTTTAGGGAAATACATCGTCTACATAAAAATCGTGTCGTATTGTATGACTCGCTAATGGGTAAAATTGTTCATTCTCACTTTGTACTTTGTCCGACGGATCGAATCTACAAAATATTCGTTGTATATGTTAATGTTCAACATTAATTAAAATCATTCTGTATATTTTTGAGATGTCCGAACTCATTACATACTTATATTTCCTGAATCTTAATATCATCGAAAACAAATCGTCTTGCACGCCATAGCCAATGTGTTGAATATCATTTAGCGGCAACCCGGTATCTCATCTCATTGATGCGTCAAAAACTACTCGTACTCGAGTTGTACTACTAGATTCCTTGACAACGGGATGATGTGGTAAATAATAAGTTAATGTGTCATTATCATTTTCTTGAATTTCCTTCATATGACCTAATTGTAAATATTCTCTCATAAATTTTTTATATTCCTCGTATAGTACCGGACCTTTAAGCAATTTCTTGATTATAGAAGTGTTTTAAGCTGTCTCTCGAATTACCTAATTGTGCAAAATTGTACTTTAATGGCATAGTAACAATAAATTGACCTTGCTCATTACGTTTAAAAGTATTTAGAAAATGTGATTCACAATATTGCTCATTTTCCGACAAATTTTCTGCCACGTTAATTTCCTCGATTTGCCAAAATTTCATATAAAACTTGCTATTAAAATCCGTACACAAACAACTTACAACATTGACTTTACCTGGTATGTTCATCTCACCTGCTACAATCCATCCTAACCTAGTTTTCTGCAGCGTAACATGAGAATTGCCAATTTGGACTTGTACAACACACAGCGGTTCCCAGAAAACGCTAAATTGATGAAATATTTTCCGTGATTTGCGATAATATTAAACAAAACACAGACATTTTGTATGATTTGTTATTGGGTATTAAATGTAACTGAGTAGAATAATTTGCATTAGCCCTGGATGGGCCTACATCTGTGATAGAAAAACTAACAGGTTGTAATTTTAAATTTAATTTCTTGCATAGTTCCTCAGTGATAAAATTCCTTTGCGAGTCGTTGTCTAGCATGCTCTACAGCGATGTAAATTTCCACGAGCAATGTAAGCCGATTTGCCGAATCAGCGGTGACCGAATGTAGAAATGTTTTGTTTATGATATAAGTTGACGGTATTTTGGCTATGTAGAATTGGATTCATTCTTTTCAATACAGTTGTTCTAGTGACCACGTATTTTTATTTCTGCTACTCTTCATTTAATTAATAAATTAATCTTACAAATTCAGAAGTGGGATGCAACCTCGTTCCTAGTTTATTAATTA